TTTGTTTGAGACACAGTCTCCCTATGTTGTTCTACCTATCACCAGAACTCAATCTGTAGATCAGGTTGGCCTTGAACTTATTAATATTCATCTGCCTCTGCCTCCTGAGTGCTGGGATTAAATCCCCTCAAGTTTTCAACGAAAGTAAATCAGTGTCAAGTAATAAAAGTAAAAATTAAATAGCTCTTTATAGATATCACACTTTTGGAAACTTTATAAAACTGCTTAAGTTTTAAAAATTGCATAGTCTTAGGATTTAAATAGTTAAAACTGAAGTAACGTCCCAGGGGCTGAGGCTGCAGCTTAGTGAGCCAGGGCTTGCCTAGCATGTATGAGCCTCCAAACTGCCTTCTCAGAACTGAAAACTAATTAATTATTCCATTTGAAAATGTCTCTACTTAACAATTCAAGGTGACCTAAAAATACATTTAACAGAGAAAACCGTTAACAGCCATATAATTTTAAGGCTGTTCAAAAGCAGGAGCTACATGAAAGATTTGTGATGTGTTGCTTACGTGATCCAAACAGAAATGAACAATGCTATGCGGACCCCTACGAGTTCAAGTGGACACTTTTGAGTTCCAAAGTTAGAATACAGGCACACACAAAAAAATTCCCTGCTCTCCATATGGGCTCCCATTCAAGCAGAGGCATTCATAGCAGCATGCCAGCCTTGTTTGCTGCCTGTTCACCCAGCATCCAAGCCAGCTGGGTTTCTTTGGTTAGCGTTAAAAGGACAACAGCTCTAGAACGTCAATGTATTCAGGTGCTGTGCACCCAGCAGCTACCCAAAGCCTGGGTGCATAACAAGAGTTTCCCAGCTGTCCCTGTCAGAGACCTAAACATAAAAGCTAGCATAGTAGAACACTAAGTCTTTTGGGTCTTTGCTTGTAACTCCACCGAATTCTTTCCTTCAGTTTTAGGTCCTACACTTTGACAGTTGAGAGAAGCACAAAGAAAACCTCATGTACTTGCTGAAATCCCCATCTGGGTACTACAATCTGTTCCTTAATATTCATTATTTTAAAGCGCATGGCTGGGACACGAGGAAAGTAATCACAAGTGACAAAGCAGTACCCTGTCCAGAACTGCTTATGACCAGAAGACCCAGAAGTAACCGAAATATCTGAAAAAAAGAATGTTTGTGCAAAATACAGCACATATTCCAGAGCACAATAAAGACTACTGACAATGCATTGTGGAATTTAAGATGAAAGCACTGTGCACATACACACGTGTGTATGTGCTTATCTGTGCTTGAGTATGTATGTATATTTGGGGAAGGTTGTCCTGGAGAAGCCAGTTTCTTTTTTTTTGTTGTTTTTTTCTCTTCCTTTTTTTCTTTTTATTTAACTTAGAAACAAGTTTGTTTCACATGCTCCCTTTCCAGCTCCCTTTCCCTCCCCTCCTCTCCTGCCCTCCCCTCCAGGACCCCCAGTCCCCCACCCAATCTCCATTCTGATCCCCAGGGAGGGTGAGGCCCTCCATGGTGGATCTCCAGAGTCTGTCATTTCATCCAGGGCAGGGCTCTCCCACAAGAGTCCAGGATGAGAGAGCCTCCCTCACTGTGGGATGGGCACTCAAAGCCTATTCGCACGCCAGGGAAAAACACTACCCAAGGCCCCATAAATTACCCAGGCCTCCTCACTGACACCACATTCATGAGGTCTCGGTCAGTCCCATGGAGAAGTCAGTTTCTTTCACAATGCCACATCCTTTCCTTTGCTGCACTTATAGCTCTTAATTTGCATATAATTACCTCATAAATGCATCTCTCTCCTTCTGGTCTACGTCAGTCTCTTAGTTTTGTACACCACTTAACACTCCATCCTAATAGTTGAAGGAAGGAGATACAAGATGCAAATGTTGATGAGGGACACCAAGGGTCCAGGTCAAAGCTGAACTATCAAACTAAAAAGGGCCTATCCTCATCATTCCCACTTAGAGCATGGAAAGACCAGGAAGGCCAGCAGTAGATGCAGCAGGGACAGCATTCTAAGCAAGACAGGCTCTCTCTGTACCTATTGCAGTTATGACAGAGGACAGGTTGGAAGTGGGGCAGCTGCCTTGAAGATCTGTCAGGAGAGCAGCAACATACCTAGGCATGTACCAGTGTAGACAGTTTCTGTCCCTCCTGGTCCCTGTAGCCATTCAGTCCCAAATACATACACAGAGGCTTATGTTAATTATAAACAGTTTGGCCGATGACTGACTTCTATTTGGCTGGCTCTCTCTTAATTATTAGCCCATTTCTATTAATCTATGTATTTTCACATAGTCTTGGCTTACCAGAGAATGCCTGGACATCCTAATTTCCCAGTGGCTACATGGTGTCTCTTGCTGGTGACTGCTTCCCTGCCTTTTCTCTTCCCAGAATTTTCCTTGTCTGATAGCCCTGCCTATAAATCCTGCCTGCCTACTGGTCAATCAGCATTTATTCATCAACCAATAAAAAAACATATATTCACACCATACACAAGGACATCCCATATCACACCAGTGTCTGAATTCTCACTGGACTGTGGCCTGATGATACCTGAAAATATTAGGGAAAGGACATGCCCCTATAATATATGAGTGGAGGCCAGTCAGATAGCTCACAGGATAAAGGCACTCACTGGCAAACCTGATGACCTGAATTTGATCCTGGGTCCCACATAATGAAGAACAAATTCCCTTAAGTAGTCCACCCATTCATCCATTCACCCATTCACCCATTCACCCAAACTTTGTGTCACTGCTATTCTAAGCCAGTATAACAGATGGCAGTCATCATGCCCTTGAAGACAGGAAGAAAAAAGTATCAATGGCTAGTGAATGGCAGGAAGTAAGGTAAAGACTGGAATTTTACTAAGGTACATTTTATAATTAGGAACTTATCACATCCAATTCTAGATCAAACATGTTGCTCCTCAGTCTTGGTCAAGTAGGTACACTTCTTCAGTATACATACAGAGATCATAAATGCAATGCCCATTAAGTTTTGCTTTTCAGGTCAGCACAGAGCTCCCTTATGTTATTCTTAATCTTGGTACCACTGAGATTTTAACCTAGATCAGTGGTTCTTAACATGTGGGTCCCAATCCATTTGGGAGTTGAACAACCCTTTCACAGGGTTACCTAAGGCCATCAGAAAATAGATATTTACATTACAATCATAACAGTAGCAAAATTTACAGTTATGAAGTAGCAACAAAAATAATTTTATAGTTGGGGGTCACCACAACATGAGGAACTGTGTTAAAGGGACACAGCATTAAGAAGGTTAAGACTATTGGTCAATACAATTACTGTAGAATGTTACAGGCTAAACCGTGCCCCTCCCAGACATAAATGTAGGCAGTCTTAACAGAAAGACTGTATTTATAGAGACTCATTAAAGAGGGTTAGTAAAATGAGGTCACGTAAAAGGGTCTGATCCAGCATGACAGGTGTCCTCATAGGGAAAGATCAGACAGACATGTGTATACAGAGGGAAGACCATGTAAGGACACTCTGGGAAGGCAGCATCTTCGAGAAAAGGAGGCCTCAGAAGACACCCTATTGATCTAGCCTTCCAGGCCCTGGAACTAACTGTGAGGAAAATCAATGCTCACAGTGGAGAGGCAGGACAAGGTTTGACAGAGGCCTGGGCCCCTACCCATATGTTAATTCTCCTCTAACCCCCTCAAGTCCTAATAAGTAAAACTGCCTCCACACTCTGTTCAACTGTCCTTAGGAACAAACTCTCCTGTATGTCCCACTGGAACCAGTTTTAGAATGTACCAACTGCTGGCCATCATTACGTTCCAAGTATTCAGTACAGTGACTGATAGGTTACTATCTGAATCCATGTGCCTGGTTTCCCAGCTTGTGTTTCACCTCTCCTTTGCAAACTGCTTTTGCTGCAAATATTAACAGCAATTGCTTCCAATTTAATGTATGGCAGATTATGTCTTCTTCTTTTTTTTTTTTTTTTTTCTTAATTTTGGGTTTTTCGAGACAGGATTTCTCCAGACAGGGTTTCTCTGTGGCTTTAGAGGCTGTCCTGGAACTCGCTCTTGTATACCAGGCTGGTCTTGAACTCCCTGAGATCCGCCTGCCTCTGCCTCCCAAGTGCTGGTATTAAAGGCGTGTGCCACCACCACCCAGCCTGATTATGTCATTTTAAATGAAACATGGCTTTCACTATAGCCTTGTTGGGGAAGTCCTGTTATTTGTCAATAAAGCACTGCTGGCCAATAGGAATCTAGATAGGTGGGACTAGGAGTTCAGGAGAACTCTGGGAAGGAGAAACACGGGAGAGTCGAGATGTAACACCATGGGGTAGGAAGCCCGGAACTTCTCCGGTAAGAGACATACTTAGATTAACAATTATGGGGTAATTACTTAAGTCAGAGCTAGCCAGTAAGAAACAAGCAAGGCCAACAGCTTCATAATTAATACAGCGTCTTGTGTGTTTATTTGGGACTGATGCGGCTCTAGAACCAGGCTGGCGGGAAGGCTTCTCTCAAAGAGAAAGCTTCTCTTTACATAGCCTAATCCTGGTAACCCAGCAATATAAATGTAATGTCAGTGTTAACCTCTGCTCATTTATCTCACAGCAAACCTACCAATAGATTCAGTGAGTGGTTCTGGCCTTAATTTCCCACACGCAGGGAACTCAGAAGGTACATCAATGGCAGTGCCAGTGTGAAAACATTCAACTCTTGCTATAATGAGGACCCCGCCCGCAAACACACATATACATTGTCAGAAGCCTCAAAGCACAGCAAAAAGTCAGTGTCCACAGAGATGTTCTATGCAAAGGGGAAGCCACAAATGGTTTCCCAAGCAACAGACTCATTGCTGTAACCCAGCCATATGTGCTGCTCTGTATGAAAGCTTGTGTGTCTGGGCTGGGCAGCGGCTGAGGGGTCGACAGGGGACAGGCTAGACCTGAAATGACAAACAAAGGCAGGGGAAAACTGGGAATAGAAGGCGTTTTGCACACAATAACAAATTTTATGACAAATGCAAAATAAATATTCATAGCCTTTATTCAAATACTATCAAGACACTATTTCAAGGAAATTACAAACTGTGTAATCATTGACAAAATTCATTTATTTCATTTTTTATTTGTTTAACACCTGGGATTCAAAGTGTTAGAGATCTGCCTGACCCCAGTGGAAAAATACTAACAGGAATAATTTTTAAATGACATTTCAGAAGCACATACATATGCTTCAGGGTTATTGTGACTGTTACAATACTTACTTTCCTGACTTTTCAAAAATTATAAAACCAACTTTGTGACTTTATACCATAAACCTACTCTATTTGTAAAACATAGGAATATCTAACAACCAAAAACATTTAACTTAGGTACTAACCAGTAACTGCTGGTGGCCTGGCATCAGGCACTTATACGAAGAGAGTAAACTATGACAAAAGCGTGTATATTCTTACCAGCTTGTTACTATCAAGAGGACATAAAGAAGTTGTTGCTGGGGTTGGTTCCCCAATGAAAAAAAGTGAAAAATGACTTTAAAATATCCTGAAATAGAGAAGTTAAGCCGAGGCAAACACCCCTGCTAAGGAATGAGTGTGTTGGGCAAAGCTGGTCAATGTGTTTTTAGGGGAGAAACATCTCAGAGGAAGGAAGCAACTGAACAAGAAGGGTCAAGGGTCATTTCATAACTTTTTTTTCTAGAAAGGCAAAGAAGAATGAAAATAAATTACTACATTTAATGTTAAACATCTCCCCTGGCTATTTCTAAATATGAAATCACACATGGCAATAAAAAAAAACCATATTCTGGTCACCGTATGGAAAAGCTGAGGAAAGCCCATACTAGTTCCTATTCCGCTTGTTTCTTGGTTCAACCTCAGCACTTTCAGTGGCTCTAGTGCGGTGATTCTGTTGAGGGTTTATTTCTCTATTCTGATCATTTCTGAAAACAAGAAAAAAAGAAATGACATATTAGAAAACAATAGTCATTGTTTCATGGGTTTTCCTGTGTACTAAGTATTCTCACATGCATGATTTCACCAAAACCTTCAACTGTCCCCTCTTCCAGTTAGCATTATCACTATAATTATCATTCCCATTTTATAAGTATGAGAACAATGAATTTTCAAAGACCAAAGAAAGACTCTTTCCCTTGAATCAAAATCCAGTAGCTTTTGAACAGCTACCTACAGTGGTAAACCTGCAATCCCAACACTCAGGAGGCAATGGAAGAAAGAACTGGTTTTGAGGATAGCCTGGTCTACATTCTGAGTTTCAGGCCATCCTGGAAGTAGGCACGACTGGTCTCAACAAACAGAGCTGGGGAGACCGCTCAGCCACTAAAATCTTGTCTTGTGATGGTTTGAATAAGAATGGTCTCCACAGTCTCATATATTTGAATGCCAAGTCTCAGGTAGTGGCACTACTTGAGAAGGATTGAGGGTGTTGACTTCTTTGAGTAGGTATGGCCTTGCTAGAGGACATGTGCCACTTGGGAGGGGGCTTAGAGGTTTCAAAAGCCTAAGGCAGGCCCAGTGTTGCTCTCTTTCTGTTTCTACCAGATCTGGATGGAGAACTCTCAGCTACTTCTCCAGCACCAAATCTACTTGAGTGCTGCCATGCTTCTAGCCATAGCAGATTAAACTTCTGAAACTGTAAGCAAGCCCCAATTAAATGAGTTCTTTTATAAGAATAGCCATGGTCATGGTGTCTCTTCACAGCAGTAGAAACCCTAACTAAGAGCCACATTAAAAATTCAAGCACAATGGCCTGTGCTTGTAACCCCAGTACTGGGAAGGCAGATAGATGGCTAGATCCCTTGGCTGAAGTTCACTGACAGCTGACCTAACTTACCTAGTGAGCTCCCGGCCACTGAGGAGTCCTGTCTCTCTCTGTCTATCTCCCTCCCTCTGTATCCCTCCCTCTCACACACACAAAACCCAAAGAAACCCAAAGAAAAAACAAGTCCCTCACACAAATTCCCTCACCTTGGGCAGAGCATCAGATAATGAAAGAGAGAGAAAGCTGCTGTGTAATCAATGAAATTTCTCAAGAATCTTTTTCTTTTTCTTTCTTTGTTTTGTCTATTTTGATGTTGGTAATCAAACCCGAGGTCTCAAACATTTTCACCATGAATTCTTGTTGTGGTGTTGTTTGTTTTGTTGAGATAGAGTCTTACTGTGCAGCTCTAACTGACCTGAAGCAACCAACTTAGGCCAGGCCAGCATGAATTCTCAAGCACAAGGTAGCAGCATGAGACGAACACATGAGTCTACATGCACTTGCAAGCCTCATTCCAGGCCACGGCAGCCAGAACAACCACTAGAATCCAACAAGGCCAACTCTGGAATCTCCTGACTCAACTCCCCAAATTAATGACTGTAGGGGTGAACCCCACAAAGCAATCCGCCCATGAGGGCGGAGACATGTAAGCTGACACAGGTAGATATAAAAGGAAGTGAAAGAAAAAGGAACCTCCCTTTTCTCCTGGAAGCCAGCCACGCTTCTAACTCCTGGTCTGTGTGACCCTCTCTCTCTCTCTCTCTCTCTGGTAAATAAATATATTGTTTTCCATATATAGCATCGAATATCATTATAAATGACCACACAGTAAACTCTTCTCTAGGTGCAAACACTGTTTAGCTCAGCCTCTGGTATCCTACACAATATGTTCAGTCTTGAGCTAAAATGAAGATACAAAAGAAACAAGAAAAGAGACCCTCACTACCACACACAAAGCAGCTGATGCAGAGGCAGCCCTCATACTGAACCCACCAGACCATGGAACTTCAAAATAATCATGACCGATACATCAAGGGCTCTAATAAAAAGGGTAGGAAACATCCAGAGAATTTCAGCAGACATGGAGATGACATGAACAAATCAGATGGAAATCCTGGGGCAGTTCTAAGGCAACAGAGAGGAAATATTTCTTCAAAGGACTATCAAGTGTAAGGTATAGAGAACTGATAAACGACTCAGATGTGCCAACAAAAAAAATCCTAACCGAGGGCTGGAGAGACGGCTGCTTGGTGTGGTTAAGAGTGCTTGCTCCAGAGCAAGGTAGCTCTTAACCATCTTTAACTCCAGGTCCAGGGGATTCAATGCCCTTTTCATTTGCTCCTACACAGGCACAACACACACACACACACACACACACACACACACACACACACACACAGTCTCTCTCTACACAGGCACAACACACACACACACACAGTCTCTCTCTACACAGGCACAACACACACACACAGTCTCTCTCTCTCTCTCTCTCATACATACACAAGTACATATAAATAAAATCTTTTTTAGAAATCCAAATAGAAACACAGAAAAAAGTGTGTGTGTATGTGTGTGCATGCATGCATGACTAGACTCCCTGTAGAAGAAATAACCGTGGGAAATGAATTACATAGCTGTGAGTTTCCTAAGCATAATTAAAGACATCAAGGACTAAAGGTGGTCAACCCACCCCCATTAACAAACAACAAACAGAAAGCACCTAGTTATATATTCAAAGTATTGAAAAACCTCTGGAGTCAAGCAAAGAAAAAGGAACATTCCATAGAGGAAAAAGATTTACAGCAGGCTTCTCAGAAGGAATCAGACAGGCCTCACGGTGATTCAGAAGTAACTTGAAAGAGCTAGAGGAAAAACTGTCAGCCCAGAATCCACCCCCAGTAAAACATCCTTTAAACATGAAAGCTAAGGAAAGACATCTCAGACAAAAGCTAAGAGAACTGATAGCTAATACATTTAAGAAATACATAAGAAATATGAAAGGAAGCTTTTTACATCAAACAAGCACGATCACCAGCTATAAATCTGGACCCATTTAACATGCACAGAAGTAAATATATGACAGCAGGACCACGAACAGGAAAAATGAATAGGTTCTCATACATCAAGGAACATATGTAAAGGCTCACTGTGATAAATATGCATGTCACAAAACCCAGGACAAGCACTATTTAAAAACAAACGTAAAAAGCTAGGTATTGGTGGAACATGCCTTTAATCCCAGCACTCAGGAGGCAAGGCAGGCGAATCTCTCTGATTTGAAGCCAGCCTGGTCTACAGAGCAAGTTCCAGGATAGGCTCCAGAGCAATACAGAGAAACCCTGTCTCAAACAAACAAACAAACAACAACAACAAAGGTAAAACAATAAGCCAATATTTGACATAAACTGAAATCACATGTCATTGCCTATTGATCAAAGCTGGGGTCAGATAGGAGGAAAGGGAAGGAAAAGACATTAGGGTCTTTTTGCTTTTCACAACATGGGCAGAGCCAGAAGACAGGCATCTGAACTTCTCAAGACCCAGTTCCCACAGGGTGACACAGAGAGGCCAGATAACTCAATAGGGGCAAAGCAGCTCATGTCGGAAAACTCTTTTTAATGGTCAGTACTTTGTCTGTTTCTGGACAGGGAGTCTTACAATGTTACTTACTATACAAACACCCAAATACATAGATAAAGCATGTTTACCAAGAGCAGTCACTGCCTGGGTTTTCAGAACAAACAGAAAAGCAAAACTCTTAGACACATGTCTCCCATCAATACCGATCCTGTTTCTACACTAGAGTGACTTCTAGCAAACTGAAGTATATACCACTTCATCAGCCATTGTGACCAACTAACAGGAATTGGCATTAATTCATTCTATTTGTTACATAGAGTGTTTAATTAAAAGTACTAGCAGGAGAATGAGGTGAATTTGCAATAGTAAACCCAAGTATGAGGCCAGGACTCCAGACCCAGCAAGCAGAACAATTCTATAAACCTTCAGTGGCTACCTTAGAAAGCCACATAGAATCTTGGCAGTGACTCAAGGCACTTGTAAATACCTTCCAGAGGCAATCAGTCACCTCAGGTAAAGTCAAGGACAGACAATTGGATGGTTCTTACTGTAGGACTAGCAGGGTATGTACATACCACAACTCACAGCCTTCCCCAGGTAAACAAAAGGCAGCTTCTAGCTGGAGGGCTCTCCACAGGTGTTTGAGGGCTTCATAACCCACCAGTGGTGTTTCTTTGAATTCTTAAAAATTGATAATGATCATCACTTGTGTGTTAGTCACGTTTCTGAGAGGAAGGAAAAATTAATACCTGGCTTCCATACAAGCAGCATAGTCAGGGGTGCTCCCCACAATAGTGCTCCTGGAAAGAAAGTAGTACTCATAACTGTTGGTTTCCCAGAAATGGCATCAGCATCAAGTGAGGTACTTGACTATACTTCCTAAGAGACTGTCTGGTCAGTTAGTAAACATCTATCTTGATATTTCTTACTCAGCTCAGATAACTGAATTCACCCCTGGCTTTTGAAGAGACTGCCAATATAACCCATCTCATCTGCACATGCCACCAGCAGGGTGGGACAACGGAGCAACAATATGAGAACAGAGAAACCAAAGACATCTGTAGGTAACAACCTCGTTCTGTGTGAGAAAGGGCAAGGTCTGTTGAACAGTTCACAAGAAGGCTATGCTGAAGGTCAAATTATGTTCCAAGTCATCTGATAGAGGACAGCAGACAGGAAAACTTAAGGCACTTGCAGCCATTGGGAGAATCTCACAATGACATTTTTCCAGTGTGAAGAGTCTTCCACAGATTGCTCTGAACCTCAGAGTTCACCAGTGTCTGTCTACAACTTCCAAAGCCTAGAAATTCCTCTGTTCAGATGTCAATGTTATAGTACTCCTTCCCTCTACAAAAGCTAGTTAGAATGTCACCTGTTTAAATGATATCCCACATTCATTCAGCCTTTTTACTCAGAAGGATCAGATGCAAGAGGGATAAGGACACTTTTATAAAACTTAGAGACTCTTTATGCTCCACACTTTTCCAGGGTGTGTCAAGGTAGGGCTTCTCAACCAATAATGTGCCCAACCAAATGGTTTAGATTCTTCTGATTTAGAAGGGCTAGCAAATTTTCTATAATGGTCTTGGACTTTACCAACTCTGCTACAACTACCTGACTCTGCTGTAACATGAAACAAAGAAGCAATGTGAACTAACAGGCAAAGGAATGTATGGCTATTTCTAATAAAACTTTATAACAAAATCAGACAGTGGACAGATTTGGTTTATGGCCCAGCATTTGCCAACCTAGGGCTACAGCAACCCAATAAAACTTAGCCAAACTCTCACCCAGAGTAAGGTATACCAAAACAGTCAATCCAGGGATGCTGTTTGGAGAGGGAGGGGAGGGATGGGAAGGGAGGGATGAGAGGGGAGGGAGGGATGGGTGGGAGGGGAGGGAGGGAGGGAATTGTGTACAAGGATGATTCACAGGAGCCTGGGGTATCCAACTCAGGTTATCAGGCTTAGCTTCAAGCATTTTTATCCACTGAGTCATCCTGCTGGTCCTAGAATTCTGAGTTTTTGAAACAGCATAACCCCAACACCATTTTTAAAATCATTAACCAGAAAATATCCAACAAAGAAAAGATATCCTTCTGAAGACAGTAGTATTCAATGATTAATTCTGTCAACACCTTAATCCTGGACTTCCAGCCTCTAGAGCTATGGGAAAATGCATTTCTATTATTTAAGCCACCTAGTACATGATGCAACAGTCCACTCTCTACCAGGATAGTCCCATTTTGCAGTAGGCAGTAGGTTATCATAGATTCAAAGACCAGAAGAGCTCAGCAGAACCTACATGTCAAATGGAAATGACATACAAAAGAGTACAGTCAGTTTGGCCCAAGGATCATCTCAGCTTTACACCAGGCCATAGTAGCTACACTACCAAGAAACATTTTATCCCTTCCTCTGTCACCTTACACATTTATCAAAAGTAATACCACACAACAAATGAACCCTAATATAAACCATTACATTTATTAAAAAAGAAGTCTTACATTACCAGATATAAAGCATTATCAAACACCAATTACAAAGTGTTAAAACGACATCTAAATCATCAATAAATACAAGAGTGATTCCAGAAACAAATCTATGCACACATATGAAATAGATATGGGTCATCTCTTCAATACCTAATGCTACTGGAAAAGCCTTCTGCAAAAGAAAACAAACAAACAACCACGGAACCAGTCATCGCCAAACCTTGTCACATATAAAAATGTACCTTACAAACCTTTAATGTAAAACCTAATACTTTTAAGCTATAAAAGAAAAATCTTGGTTATTTTGGATTAGGAGAAGTTTCCTGGTAGGACAAAAGTAATTAAAATAGGCATAATACATTTCATCAAAATTAAAAGCTGTACTTTGAGAAATAGCACCAAGAAAAACAAAAAGACAAATAAATACAGAAAAGATGAGAATGAGACCCCAGAAGGTCGGCGTTTTAGTAGGTCTGAACACTTCCTGACATAGCACTTTAAAAGAGCCCAGATGGGCTAGTGCCTGGAGAACATGAAAGACGCACATGCCAGAGGATTCCCACATTCTTTGCTTTAGGAAATTATTCTCTGAGGAAGGAGAGGCCATTGGTGAGTGGTGCACCATCGGCATGCAACCCCCTGTAACCTGTGTGGCCCTCTATCCACAAAGGGCTGTGAGGAAAATGAGTCAGTGTCTGTGGCAATGGTTTTCTTTTTTTGGGGGTGTGTGAAATTTTACTCCTTGTTGCCTGATGGTAGCTTTCCATTCCATCTTTTGCTTCATGTACTCTGGGACTTTTGTTACATTTATATATGTTCTCAATCATTTTGTCTTCTTGATAGATGGACCTTTCCAAGCCTTATAAATGTCTTTGACTCTGTTACATGTTTTACCTTCAAGTCTATCTTGTCAACACTATCATTATGTTATGTGGTGATACTTTATTTATGATCTAACAAATAAAGCTTGCCTGAGAGCAGAGTGTAAAGCTAGCAGATTAGTATGGCAGTGATGGCACAGACCTTTAATCCCAGCAGTCACACCAGTTAGTCATAGAGGCCAGGCAGTGGTGGCACACATCTCTAATCCCAGCACTCAGGAGACAAAGGCAGAGGGATCTCTGTTGGTTCAAGGCCAGCCTGGCCTACAAGAAATTGATCCAGTCTAAAAGAGAAACAGAACTCAGACAAAGGTAATCTCAGCACTTGGCGTGACATGGGTTTAATCCCAGCACTAAGGAGGTGGAGACAGCAAGAGGTATGGCTAGGCGGAGAGAGGAATACAAGGCAGGAAGAGACAGAAGCTCATGGCAGTCTGAGGCTGCACAGTCTGAAGCAGGCAGTCTGAGAAGCACACTACAGTGTTAGCATTGTTCTTTTGCTTTCAGAGTATTGGTGTCTTGAAATCAAAACTTTGTCCTTTGTATACAAAGCACAGGACACAGTACATCTTTTTTTTCCAATCCATTCTGCAGGGTCTATATTCTGATATAACCCAATCCTACAATCATTCATTAAGCAGAATTTGTGTGCCACTTTTTTGTTGTCGTTTCTCTATTCCACCATCTCTGTCTTCTTTGGTGTTATCCAGATATCTTCTACTGTAGCATTTTAATCCACTCAGAATTTGTCTACTTATCTTAAAACGTCATCATCACCATCATTATTTTTTATTTTGAACACAACGTCTCATGTATCACAGGCTGGCATCAAACTTGATACAAAGCTGAGGATGACCTTGAACTTCTGATCTTCCTGCTTAGTATAAAGCACTATTGATGGGGTAGGGGAAGTGAATTCTGAAAATGACCTCTGGATTTAGCTGTATGGAGGCTGGAAATGGAAGATTAAGAAACAGAAACTGCAAGATGACATCACTACTAAGGAAGCGAGAAGGAGGCTCATCTGTGGCTGCAGAGGCTGCCACTGCACACCGAGAACAAATTGAGAAAGACCCAGCTAAGAAGGGAGAGGCTGCCTGTGTGAGAGAAAGAAGGATAAAGGGAGGTGACCCCAGACAAGGGGGTAGGAAGGAGGCAGAAGGAGAAATTCACCTCAGACACGAGGAGAGTATTTCTTTATTTACTCTGAGCCTGTGCTTAGCAAGTTACCATACTGTCCAAAAATTATTGTGGCCACAGAAACAAGATCTACAAGTAACTAGTTACTGTACCAGGACTCCAGTTCCACAGTGAAACTACACAGACAAGAAACACAGCACAATCTTTGCTTTCCACCTGGTTGAGTCTCTTCTAACCATCAGAAAGCACACATGTCTTGTATAGAATCAGCTGCACAGTATTCTCATCGCTCAGACTCAAGCTCACGCACTTGCTGACTGTGAGAACTCACCTGTGAGACGCTTCCCAGGCTTCCTCTTCTTCCAGAAGGTCTCTTATGATGTCTGAACTGGAACTAAAAGGACATGTGTCAGCAATGCCACACTGTGAGGTCTGTTCTGACCTAAACATGAGGCTGGGGAGCTACAGTCAGTGGGGGAGGACCAAGTGACCCAGACAGATACATAAGGGTAGGCATATTCACCATCCACACTGTGAAGATGGTTTTGTAGCAAGTATCTATGTAGAACCTTATCAAAGTTGGTCATTAAATATTTATAATTTATTATATGCCAACCATTCCAAGAAGCCATAAAATCTTTAGTGAGTTAGTAATGATAAAAACAATGAGGAAAGCTTAAATAAATCCCTCAACATAAAACCGGAGTCTAGACAGAACAATGGCATGAGGCTTTTTAATCTATTATGTCAATCAAAGATCAAATTACAATTTAGTCAGTTCCCAGCACTATCAAAAAGGAAAAGAGAAAGAGATTGCATTTTAAAAACTAAATTCTAGTGATGAGATCCACAAGAGGTAACTGCCTAAGTGGCTTTTAGTCTCTTGGTAACCAATATAAGTAGCACAATGCCTGTGAGCAGTACTAATAATGGAACTGTCTTATAAAAATGTGATCTAGTTTAAAATGCCACACTCTCTAGTGGTGCATGGAAAACGAGGTCACAGGGAACATGAACTATTCCTTTAAAAGAAAAAATTGAAAGTTTTAGCATCTTGTTCTCATATAATCAATAAAAACTACTTTAGAAAGGCCATGTGTCACTTCCTGTCGAGGGTGCCATAGGAGAGCAGCAGCCATGGCCCTGCACTATCCCATGGCTGTGGGCCTCAACAAGGGCCACAAGATGACGAAGAACCTCAGCAAGCGGGAGGCACAGCTGGTGCCGCAGGCGCCTCACCAAGCACACCAAGTTCAGTGAGACATGATCCGGAAGGTGTGCGGCTTTGCGCCATGGAGCTGCTCAAGGTGTCCAAGGACAAGTGCGCACTCATCAGGAAGAGTGTGGGCACTCAAATCCACTCCAAGAGGAGGCAGAAGGAGCTGAGCAACATGCTGATGGCCATGCGGAAGGCAGCGGCCAAGAAGGACTGAACCCTCCCACCCTCAATGAACGTTGCTGCCAGGCAGAGAGAGGGAGGGGGAGGGGGAGGGGAGGGGAGAGGAAGGGGGAGGGAGAGAGGGAGAGGGAGAGAGAGAGAGAGAGAGAGAGAGAGAGAGAGAGAGAGAGAGAGAGAGAGAGAGAGAGAGAGAGAGAGAGAGAGAGAGAGAGAGAGAGAGAAAGGCCATGTGTCGGCCAGTATCAAACACAGTTCTCTAGACAATCTACATGAAATGTCGAAGGAATCATGTGGGACACTCAAAATCAAATGTCACCTAGCAGAAAGAGGAAAGCTAAGGTGAGAAACCAGGTTGAAAATATTAAATGTGAATAGTGTCGCTAATGGTATACTAATAAGTAACAAAAGCTTTAAATTATGAAGATTTGAAGTGTCAATGAAGCACTTTCAACCATTTCTGACAAATCATGCTGAAGCATGATTTGCCTATGATGCCAAGACAAGAGACCATAGACAAGAGAACACAGCTTTTCACTCAATGTATTTCCCCAAGTCTTCTAGACTCTCAAGGAGCCTCATGCAAGGTCTAGGTGGAGAGGTCTAGGACCAGCCACACTGCATATGTAATCCCCATACTTTTAATACATTCTCTGAGCATCTGAGAACAAGGAGCTCACAGGTAATAATAATTTGTTATCTTTGGTTTGAAAAATATCTCATAATGATAAGGAACAGATACACACATATGATTTTTTAAAACAGAACACTATCTTGTCCACAGTCAACTCTGACTTACCTATATATGCACTGCAATTATTCCTTTAGGTCCCTGTACTGGGGACCCCTGACCCAACCTGCCACAGTACCCAAGTATGCACTACTATTTCCCACTGAGAAATGGCCCCTCTCAAAAGCTAGATGTCTCATGGAACAATGAACACTTCTTCATTAGCCAATTTCATTCAACACTGGTTTATAACAAACCTTTCCTATTCAAACAACTACTGAAATGGAGTTTTTAATAGAAGAGAAAGCATGGCAGAAAGCCCTGCAGGTCAGTAGGCTGAGTTCACTAACTTTACTCTCTGGGAGGCAGAGAGTACACAGCACCCCACTGGGGAGGGCTCATGTCCACTGCCACTGCCATTCCCACAGAAGCAGTTTTAAACCTTTTTGGTCACAAAATCTCAACTCTGGCACCTGCTTATTATGCAGTAACTGTTCTAATTGCAGAAGAAGCCTGAAGCTATTTACTCTTTCATGTCCCCTGACAATGTGTCTGGCAGTACTTCTGGGAGTTGGAGAGATACTTAACTGTGTTTCTGGCCAGTGTCATGTGGTCAGAAGAAAGAGTAAAGTCTGCTTTTTGTCCAATACCCTCACCTACCACCAAAACCCTTTAAACAACATATATATATGTTTAGGGCCAGGCATAATAGCACACAACTTTAATCCCAGCACTGTCAAGGCAGACACAAAGGAATCTCTGAGATCTCTAAGTCGGAGGCTAGCCTGGTCTACAAAGCAAGTTCCAGTTTCAGTCCTGTCCAGAAACTGTAGTCTGTGTTTGGTTTTCCTAGGTGCTTTCAAACCAACCAGCACAGCCATCAGTTTGTTGGAGGGAATATGTGTGGTACACATGGCATACACTGGAGAGTAACACCTTGGTGGAAACAAACTGCAGATTCACAGAGCACACCAAGTTGCTTTCTCCTAGCTTCCATGCTGATGCCCATCCATGCTCGCAGCTCCCGGAGTTCTCAATTGTCACTTCTTTCCACTGCATCATATACATCTTAGACCCTCATGAGAATGATCACAAAACGACTGACACAAAGTCTAAAAAGCGTCACGTTCACTAGCTATGAAGTCTCAGAGTCTACGGCACATCAACTACACTTCAATTTCTGTCACTACTGAATACTAAGAGTTGACAGAACACATGGCAATACCAGACAAAACTGTTCAAACCTGTCAAAAGTAATGTATCCACCGTGTCCTTCTCCAAAGTGAGATATCAGAAATTAAGCATACAATCTCATAATTAGGACTTTATAAAGGGACTACCACACATAAATTAATGTTACTAAATTATCACCCGAAGAGTTCTTTCCTGTTGACAGAAGCAATTAATATTTTTGAAATTTTGTTCATTTTAATATGCTTTAAAGATTAAAAAATTCTAAATACCATTAAGACATCTAAAAAATATCTTAGGATTAATTTAATTGCTCAGTCTGATATACCCGGGTCAGAACATGTGCAATCCTAAGCAAACATAACTTTTACATCTAGAGCAAGGAACTTCTATATAAACCTCGGCATCTCTACTAGCTAGGTTTGTAACATTTGGAAGATTGTAATTTAAGAGGTTGGATAAGCAGGAGGTCTGGCACATGAAAAATACAACATAACTATGGAAGAGTATTGAGATTGTGTTCTCCAATGTGGCCATCTGTCCAGCTATTGTGGACATTATTACATAAATTACATGTGAGAAAGTCTCACTGACAATTATATGAATCTTAAATTCTGAATTCCCAACCTGGGTTCTTTCTTGCTCTCTGAACATTACTTCTAAAGAAAAAGCTATTTGCATATTCCCTTTCTAGCACACAATTTCGTCTAATATTAAAGATTTTACTACCAACACTGACGAGATGTCAAATATCCTGCAAAGCTATGATGTAAAGTTGGGTTGGGGGAGGAGGCATGCACAGACTTCACTGTCAGCATTACTAAGAAAGTCTCCTGTTCCTGTCACCAAATGTTCAACCTTAGGCAAGTTCTGGAACCTTTCTAAACCTCAGAGCCCCTATCTCTAGTAAGGACACATATTTCCCAGGGATATTTTTAAGATGAATCAATACAGCACACTAAATGTTTAGTACAGAGGTTGGCACATGGTAAGTGCTCAATCAATGTTACCTCCACTTTCATAAAACAGGTTTGAGCCTAGATTTTCCAAATAACTATCACAGCACTGCTTCAATTTGCCCCGGGAAACCTGATCACCATATGTGCCGCTTTAATCTTTGATTCCCACTGTTTCTATGACACCAGGTGCAAAATCATCAGAGCCTGTTATTTATCTGGTTTTGGCAGGTACGCAGGGTACAGCACAGTAGGAAAAAAACCCAAATGTTTGCTATAAAAATCCTGTGGATTAAAGATTACTAACAAGTGGAATTTTCTATTATCTAATAGCTGCCTGTTTCCAAGTGTCTCCCTTGTGGCAATAATTTGAATGTGGTTGAGGATATGCAACATTAAAAAGAAAACAACCTCTATTAGCACAAACCACCAGAGAGTTCATTAAAAGGGTATACAACCTGCCACACAATGATCATTGGTAAACGCTGTCCACTAGCATGCATCCTTCCTCACAGCATGATTTCCAGTAATCTGTTCTGTAGGATGAGCCAATAGCTTATATGCTAAATACTCTAGTAGTGAGCTAACAGTGACATAAAATAGTCAACATTCATAGACTTTTTACAAAAATCACTCGATGATGACAAAGGTTACCTACCATTTTTCTGAGTAACACCAAACACTATGATAATTACCTTACACATACCAACTTTAATTCAGACCTTACCATTTGCAAGATAGACAGAAATATTAAAGCAGGGAAAAAACAAATTAAAAAAATCAGGAATTCGGAGATGATCTTCTTTCTGTCACCCACACTGCTTCAGCCAGTGGAAGCAGAAACTCGAATACTCTAATACCTCCCCTACATTCCTATCAGCAAGGTTTTAGCAAACAATCAATTGCAAGATTCATAGATAAGGCATGGTTATGAAGAGCTTGGTTAAGCTCCAGGAGATCTAGAAAACTAAAATGACAAGGTCTTAGATGACAAGTAATAAAAAGAATGTATTTATCCAATCTTACAAAACAGCAGCAATGAAGTTCACATTTACTTTACAAAATAGTCCCAATACATAACCAAGTAACCTAGGAAGGCTAGCAAAGCAAAATCAAATTTC